AAGAGGAAGCTAAGGAAGCTAAGGGTAGGTAGGCCCATTGTCACACAGTGAGTCAGGGCAATCTGAGCCCAGAACTGGCACTCCTGCCCCTGAATAAAGGACCGGGTTCAGGCTAGTATCTCCCAGAACACATCTTCCCACTCTTCTTCCTGCTACCTTCTGATTCCAGGGCTACTCCCTCTGGAAAAAAAGTTGTGATCTGCAGCTTTGACTTTTGATGTCCGTAAGGCTCCCCATCATCAGCATCACACAGCCTCCAGGTAGAGTATAGTCTAGCCAGGTTGGCAGGGGCTGGTGGTCAAGGCCAGATGATCAGAAAGTTATGGAGGGGGAAAAATTTGGGACTGTAATAATGGGAGTGGCTACAGAAGGGCCAAGCTAGTGAGGGCTGAGCCCTAGAAACAGGTTCTGTCAGGCTGGTAAGGGCTAGGATTCAAATGCAGGCCCTGGGAGGAAGAGAGAGTGAAGCAGAAGGGTGCTCTAATGCCAGGAAGTGACGTTGAGGGGAAAGAGGGATGGGGGATGGAGGATGAAGAATGGATGGGGAGAACAGAGCTAAGCCACATGGATAGCAGAGAGAGCACTAGGGAAGAAATGCTTTGAGAGCTTTGGCCCTCAGGTCTCCTTACTCCCACCCCTTGCCGCCCCTGCAGAGGGCTGAGAACACAGTATAATTCTGGAGCCTGCTTCCAGGGTACCTTACTAACATCCTGGCCTGATCCATGGCTCTGGTACGGGTGAGGTAATCCACAGGGCAGCAAAGGCACTCTAGTCCCCAAGGACTTTGAGAGGTCATTCAGTCCATCCCTGTCTCCTAATACCCAGCACATACAAAAGGAATCATACTCTCTTTACCCCTCCCTGGACATGAAGAGATTCTCAGCTTCTCCCCATGGTCTCTCCTTCCCACAGTCCCTAACTGTGGGGGAAGTTCTTCTCAAGACCTAGCCTCTATTCGTCCTGCTGCAATCTCTGACTTCGTTTCTCCTATCCTCTTCTCTGTGACTAGAGAAAAGCCTTTTCTGGGTGATCATAGCTATTCCTCAGGATCTCCCCTCCAACATTCCTTCTTTGTTAGTTGGTTCTTTCCAAAAGGTAACCCCCCATCCCTCCTACTGCAGTCCCTGGCATCATTCTCCCTTGTCGCATCCTAGGACTCTAAGGCAGAAATGCATTCCCAACCCCATCAGATAATTAACAGAGAAAAGGGAGGAGAGAAAGGTCCAGGAGGAAGGAAATGAATTAAGGAGATGGAGGCTGGAGGTGATGCTCCGCGTAGATGGAGGACCGGGGGCGTCCCAGGGGGCAGGGACGGGGTCAGCGGGGCTCACCTGTATCGGGGTCTCCCAGGAAGGCGTCCTCGTCCTTGCGGCCCCTCAGAGGGACCGCGGGCGCCGGCTCGTCCTCTGGCAGCCGCGGGAAGCTGGTGATGCTCATGTAGTCCACGGGCGAGTAGGCGCCCAGGGAGCTCTCCTGACTGGCCTGGTTCTCCGCCGCCATCCTCGCCCGCGCCCCCCCCAAGCAGCGCAGCGCCTGCCGGAAGTGGTGCGGAGGGGGCCGGGTGGCATCGGGGTTGGGGGGGTGGGGTGGGTAAGGCGGGGCCTGATCTCCGGGGCTGCCGGGAGGGGGCGCCTCACCCCCACACTAACCCCTGTCAGGGTCGGGCTCGCTTCTGCCTGCTTAGTGTTGTTGCCAGCCTGCAGTTGGTGTGCAGGTGGAGATGGGGTTGTGAATGCAGGGGACCGAGGGCAAGATCCGGTCGCGAAGTAGGGGGGTCGGGAGGAAGAGCAAGCTACAAGCGCGACCGTAGTGGTTAAGGACATCTTATGCAGCCCAGGGGCCAAATCTCTTCTTCCAGTTTGAGCTAGAATCCTTCTCAGACCTCAGATTCCTCCCTCGGCCCACAGACTCTTCTACTGACCGCAAACTTCTTCACGACCTCAGATCTTCCTCAGATCCCAAACTCCTCAGGCCCCAGACCCTTTCTTGGATTCCAAGATCCTCCGATCTCAGACTTGTCCGGCCCCAGATTCCTATTTCAACCTCAGACTCTGCCTTCACCCCTCACCCCCCAACCCCTCCCCAGCACCTGCTTCATCCTCAGACTGCTTCTTCACTTGGAGATCTCTCCTTGGACATCTCTTCTCAGACGTCAGATCCCTCACTGTACCCCCGACACTTCTCAGACTCCTCTTTCAAGCCCAACTCCTTCTGGGACTCCTGACCCAAACTTGAGTGTGTTGTTAGGATCCTTAAGAGCAGATCCCCAGATTCCATTATAGAAATCATGATTTAGTACTCTTGGATGGGGTCTTTGGGACCTGAATATTTACCATCATTTTAAGAGTTTTTTATGTGGTTAAGAAGGAAATAATGGGCATTATGGTATAGCAGGAGTGGGACAGGGTGGGGGGAGTGGGGAGTGGGTCTCTGTATTTTAGGTGTCTGTGTTCTATTTCCTGTGCTACCACTTACAAACCATGTGATCTTGGGCAAGACACTCAATCTCCTTGAGTATATCAGTTTCCTCTTCTGAAAACTGGAGAGAATAATAGTATCCATCTCAGGGGGTTGTTGTGAGGATTAAATAACACTTAAAAAGCTCTTAGTATAGGTCTTGGCCCTACTCGATAAATGCCATTATTATAATTATTTTCATATCCTTAATCTTGTGGATTCTCATTTCATCCAATCCTATCCATCCTCTTCCCATTCTTAGGAATTCCAGCTAGGCTATAGACTGCACTACTTTCCCATCTCCGAGGGTGACAGGTTCACTTTTTTTTAAAGGTTATTTATTTGTAGAGAGAGGGGAAAGGAGTGAGAAAGAGAAGAAGAGAAACAACCGGGGACCTGGCCCACAACCCAGGCATGTGCCAGGCATGTGCCCTGATCAACAGGCGACCTTTCAGTTTGTGGGAGGACACCCAACCCACTAAGCTACACCAGTAAGAGCGAGGGGTTCACTCTTTATGAGGCCTCTTGTCCAAACTTTCTTTGTACATTTCACAGTTGGAGGGAGGAGGCTGGTCAAGCCCCTGGTACATCCCCTCTTTCAACCTCAGCAGAGCTTGAAAATCTTCTATGGGTCCCAGAACATGCAGTGCCACCTGTTGACAGGAGAGGGCAGCAATGTGTTGGAAACAGCTCCATGACTTGGGAGAACGAGTTGGGGAAAGGGGAGAGGAAGAGGGCTGCCAGAGCTTTGGGTCTGGGATGCATAAATGACTGTCGATACCTAGAACTGTGTACCCATTATTTGTGCCTTCCTCCTTACAGGGAGGCTAGTATTTTTCTCAGTGAGGTCCGTAGGGTTTATTATGCTTCAATGAAATATGATTCCTCCAATAGGGCCTGTCCCAGCTAAATGAGGTCTGTGCTCCCTCATTGGTATCTGTTCCCTTCAGTGGGATTTGAGTCCCCTCAGTGGTGTCAATATCTTTTTATATGTATATCTTCCATACCTCCTAGAGGGAAGTCCATGTCCCCTCAGTAGGCCAGTGACTTTCAATGCCACTCATATCCTATTACAAGGGTCCACAGAATTTAAGTGACATTTGAGGCCCGTCAGCAAGGTCTGTGTTCCCTTAGTGGAGTCCATGTACCTTCAGGGAAGTTTGTGCCCATTCGGTGTAGTTAATGTCTCCTCAATGAAGTTTCTGTCTACTCTGTGGGGTCCATGTTCACTCCATGAGGTGTGAGACATTCCCCTCAGGATTAAGGAGAAGGCTCTGATCATAAGTTTGACCATGGAAAGATTTTTTTCAGTTTAGGGTATGTTGGGCTTGTGGTTAGCTGGGAAAAGAACAAAGGTGCAGGTGAGAAGAGAGGCTGGGCCTGATGTGGTCACAAACGCTGTGCAGGCTTGCAGGAGCAGAGCAGACTATCTGCTCTGGACCTCAGAATCACTCTTGGAATTAAATATTTAAGGTTTCTTCTTGCCTTGACAGCCATTCTGTGAACTGATGGGTAGGGTGGGCCTGTCCTGGTTGTGAGTGCCGGTTGCAGACAAGGGTCCTGCCTGGCCCCTCCTTTCTGGAGTGGAAGGGACAGAGGAAAGCCAGAAGTAATGGAACCCAAGTGTGGCAGGTGGGGGTGGTTTCTTTAAAAGAGACTGGGGAAGTAAAAAAAGGTAGGAGTGTTTCCTCCTATTTGCATACATATTGGTCTAGTATTTCACCAGCCTTAGCTTCAACCTGATGAGGGGGTAAAAAGGCTTGGAGCTGGGAACTTAGGTTTGGCCCTGACGCGGTTGGTGTTTGCTCGGCGACCTTGCCAATTTTCCTCCTTTCCCTGTGCAATAAGGAGGTGGCTTTATTAGCAAAGACCTGAACACAACTCCTCCCCCTCAGTAAATCTTGTACTTTAGAGCTGGATGGAAATTTGTGGAGGCAGGGAGAGTGAAGACATATCCTCAGGGGTGGGAAAAAATCTGAGCTGGCAGAAACTGGCAGAAACGTGCACTAAACGTCGTGGGAGGAATCACCCCCCCCACCCCGAGGGCAGAGGGGAGGATTTAACTCGGAATGGAAGAATAGTTCTTTGAGGAAAAGGGTTCCGAGAAAGAACCCTACTCCACCTGGCCTTCCAGCTCAGTGGGGTGACAGGCTTGTGCAATCAGACTAAGGAGCGGCTCCTCTTGGACTAGACACAACTCTTCTCGTTAGCTAAGTGCTTTCCCGCTCCAACCCCGCCTTAACCCAACCCTTATTAGTCATTCCAAGACCCCACCCCCAAACTGCTCACTCCACGGGCCCGCCTCCCCTCCTGTCACGCCTGACCCAGCCACATCTACTTTTATTCCATGGCCCCACCCCTTCCGCGAACCAGCTCCTCCCCTATCCCCCAAGCAGTGCTCTTCATTTCCCTATTTTTATCGAGCTAACCCTAGTCCGGCCCCCAAGACGGTAAGGCTCCGTCCCACTCTCCAGGCTCCACCCCTTCCCTAAGGCCCCGCCCACGGCGGCCTGTTTTTATTTTTGTCCCCCCCCGGCCCCCGCCAGAGCTCCCCGGGAGACCTCAAAGGTGGTTACCGTGCTCAGAACTTGACGCTATGGGGCTTCCAGAGGAGCGGGGCCGGAGTGGCAGTGGGAGTGGGGGCCAGGAGGAGGCTGGAGCGCGGGTCCGGGTGCGGAGTTGGTCTCCACCGCCCGAGATCAGCCGTTCCGCGCACGTCCCCTCGCTGCAGCGCTACCGCGAGCTGCACCGACGCTCTGTGGAGGAGCCGCAAGGTGAGGCCGGGCCCGGGCGTGCCTCGGGACGTCAGTGAGAAGAGGAGCGGGGACTCCCCGGGAAGTGAGGAATTGGGGGGCGTTCCATGGGGCAAATGGGGGTTCCGTAAGGAGATAGGCGTTTCCTGGAGGTGTTGGCGGTTCCCTTGGGAAGTTGAGGGGTCCTTGAGGCCATAGATGCAGGTTCTGTGAGAGCTGCGGAGGAGATGGAGACGGGGGGTTCAGGAAGAGATGGGGATTCTATGAGGAGGGTTCTGTAAGGAGATGAGGGTTCCCTAGGAGTTGGGGAGTTCCCTGGCGACTTGGGGATTTCATGAGATGGGGTTTCTGTGAGGGAATTGGGGGTCTGTGAGGAGAATGGAAGTTTCATGAGACGAGGAGTATTCCTAGGGTGAAAAGGGGTTCCCAGGGACGAGGGGACACCTTGAGGACGAGAGGGCCCTGAGGGGAACATTCCTGGTCCCCTTTCACACCAACTCAGCCGTTGCCTCCTGACACCTTTAACAAGTGAGTTGGTCTCCACTGTTGAGGGGCAGGAACTTGCCTGGTTACCAACCTGCAGTTCCCACAATTAGTAATTAAGTCCCAGATCTATTTTTAATATTTCGGAAAATATTAAAATTGCCCAATATAAGACCAAACAAGTCACATATTAGTTGAGTTTTTCGTGCATTTTTTTAAAAAATGTGCCGGGATGGTAATAACTCAGAAATTCTGATAGGTAGTTCATCTCTTTAGGAATGTGTGAGAAACCCGGACCGGTGTGGCTTGGTCGGTCGTCTGTTCCGCAAACTGACGGGTGTCTGGTGCGGTCCCCGGTCAGGCCACATGCCTGGGTTGCCGGGTAGGTCCTGTTTGGGGCAGAGGCGACTGCTCGATGTTTCTCTCGCACATCGATATTTCTCTCCTCTTTCTCCCTTCCTTCCCCTCTCTCTAAAAATAAATAAATAAAACCTTTGAAAAAAGTATGAGGAACATTCCCTGCCCTTGTCCCTCAGCCTGGGTCAGGTAGGGATCAAAACTGTTGGAAGGCAGCGTGATGTTAGCATGGGCCAGGAATCCAACCCAGAAAAATCTAGATTCATATCCTGGCTCTACCACTCATTTACTGAGTAGCCTTAGGTAAATTTTTAAACTTGTCTGAGATTCCTTTTATCTGTAAGATAGGGATAATACTTGTCTGGTAGTTTTGCATGATGACGAAAGTGGGTAGTAAAGAAAGTGTGCAGTATAGAGTGCCTGGTGCACAGTAGACATTCAAAAAATGATTAGTTTGATAACATTAACGACATGGGTGAAACAGTTACTAATGCAAGTTAGGATTGAGTCAAATGTAGTCATTGATTGCAGCAGGCAGTGGCCAAGTTTGAGTCCTCAGACTTCTTTTCACTTCTCTTCCTCTTTATATTTTCTCCATCTGAATTCATCTGTTTTCTAGGGAGAAGCTATAACTGTCACAATAATAACTCCTATTCTATACACTTAGTTCTGTACCCAAGATCTCACTTACACTCTGGCCCCAAATTTGTGGGGCCAGATGGTCTGTAGACCATTTTATTCACACACTTTCGCTATACCACATTTAACATGACTGTGACTGGGATTTACCAGTTTTCCCTCCCAAACCTGCTCTCCTACCTAATTTTCTAATATCTGTCAATGGCTTTATGCCAATCTATAAACCTCTCATCATCTTCTCCTCTAATAAGGCTTATCTATATGCTTTATTTATTTATAGGTTGCTTACTGCTCATTGACAACAAATCCTGTTTGATTTGATATAGAAACTATTATCATCCACATTTACAGAGAAGGAAAATGAAGCTTAGAGAACTTAATTTGGACAAGGTGACAAATCTACTTAGTGGTGGAGCTGGGATGTGAACCAAGGTAGTCTTTTAAAAAAAATTATTGGGGTGACATTGGTTAATAAAATTATATAGGTTTCAGTGTACAACTCTATAATATATCATCTGTATATTGTATTATGTGTTCACCACCCCAAGTCAAGTCTTCTTCCATCATCATTTATGCCTCCTTTGCCCTCATCTACTTCCTCTCAACCTCCTTTCCCTCTGGTAATCACCATACTGTTGTCAGTGAGTTTTTCCCCCTAATCCTTTCATCTTTTTCACCCAGCCCTCCAACTCTCTCCCTTGTGACAGCTGTCAGTCTGTTCTCTGTATGTATGAGACTTTATATTTTGTTTGATAGTTTATTTTGTTCATTAGATTCCACATATAGATGAAATCATGTGGTACTTGTCTTTCTCTGACTGGCTTATTTTACTTAGCATAATACTCTCCAGGTCCACCCATGCTGTCACCAAAAGTAAGATTTTTTTCTTCTTTTTTATGGCTGAGTAGTATTTCACTGTATAAATGTATCACAGTTTTTTTATCCATTCATCTACTGATGGGCATTTGGGCTGCTTCCAAATATTGGCTGTTGTAAATAATGCCACAATGAACATAGTGTTGTGTACATTCATTCTTTAAAGTTTTTTTTATTGATTTTAGAGGGAGGGAGGGGAGAGAGAGAAAGAGACTTCAATTTGTTTTTCCACTTATTTGTGCATTCATTGGGTTATATGTGCACTACTGGGGATTGAACCCACAACCTTGGTATATTGGGAGGACTCCCTAAACTAACTGAACTACCTAGCCAGGGCTTATACTCTTTTGAATTAGAGTTTCTTCAGCTATATTCCCAGAAGTGTAATTGCTGTGTCATAAGGCAGTTCCATTTTAATTTTTGAGAAGTAGCTTCATACTGCTTTTCATAGTTGCTGCACTGATCAGCATTCCCACCAGTAGTGCGCAAGGGGCCCCTTTTCTTCACATCCTTGCCAACACTTGTTTGTTGATTTATTGATGATAGACATTCTGACAGATGTGAGGTTATATCTCATTGTGGTTTTAACGTGTATTTTTCTGATGATTAGTGATGTTAAGCATCTTTTCATATGTCTATTGGCCATCTGTATGTCCTCTTTGGAGAAGTGTTTAATCAGATCCTTTGCCATTTTTTTTTAAAGATTTTATTTATTTATTATTAGAGAGGGAAAGAGAGGGAGAAAGAGGGAGAGAAACATCAATGTGTGGTTATATTTCATGTGCCCCCCGCTGGGGACCTGGCCTGTAATCCAGGCATGCGCCCTACACTGGGAATCGAACCAGCAACCTTTTGGTTTGCAGGACAGCACTCAATCCACTGAGCCACGCCAGCTAGGGCCTTTTGCCATTTTTTAATTGGATTGTTTGTCTTTTTTTGGTGTTGAGTTGTATAAGTTTGTTATAAACTTTGGATATTAACTCCTTATCACATGCATCATTGGCGAATATGTTCTCCTTTTCAGTGGGTTGTCTGAGTAGATATATCAGAAAAAAATACTGCTCTGAGAACTGTCTGAGATTTTACTGTCTTTGTTTTCTTCTAAGATTTTTATGGTTTCAAGTCTAACATTTAAGTCTTTAATCCATTTTTAGTTTATTGTTGTATATGGTGTAAGAAGGTCATCTAGTTTCATTTTATTGTACATATCTATCCAATTTTCCCAACACCATCTGTTGAATAGACTATCTTCACCCCATTGTATATTCTTGCCTCCTTTGTCAAATATTAATTGACCATAAAAGCATGGTTTGATTTCCGGGTTCTCTATTTTGTTCCATTGATCTATATGTCTATTTTTATGCCAGTAGCATGCCATTTTGATTACTATAGCCTTGTAGTGTAGTTTGAGAACAGGCCGCGTGATTCCTCCAACTTTGTTCTTTTTTCTCAAGATTGCTGAGGTTATTCAGGATCTTTTGTGGTTCTATATAAATTTTTGTCATATTTGTCCTAGTTCTGTGAAATACACCATTGGTATCTTGATAGGAATTGCATTGAATCTAGAGATTGCTTTGGGTAGTATAGACATTTTAATGATGTTAATTCTTCCCATCCATGAACATGGTATATGCTTCCACTTACTTGTATCTTCTTCAGTTTCTTCCTTCAGTGTCTTATAATTTTCTGAGTACAGGTCTTTTATGTCCTTATAAACCAAGGTAGTGTTGACTGAAGACTATATGCTCCTAATAGCTATGTTATTCCTCTTTCCTGACTCCACAGCTTTCACCAAATTCTGTCAAATACTATTTCAAAATGTCTCTCAGATTACTTTTATTTCCATTCCCATAGACCCTTTTAGCTCAAGGAAGCAGCCTCCTAATTGGTTCTCTCCCCTAGTCTCACCCACTTTCAATCTCTGATATATTTATGTAAACACTATTAGATCAATATTCTGAAAACACTGCTTGCTTATGACACTTCAAAAACTTTCAATAGTTTCCTATTTCCTATAGTTTCAAATTAAAATTCTGCCTTTTGTTCAAGGTCTCTGGATAACTAGCCCCACTCCACTTCTTGATCCTTATTTCCTACTATTTTCTACCACACACCTCATTCTAGACAGGTCATTCTCACTGATATACTGAATACACCCAAGTTCCTTTCCCATCTCCTTGTCCATTTCTTTCCGCTCCTTTAGTTAAATCCCAGCAATTCCACAAAGCATTCCTTGATCCTCTGAGTCCATGTTCATTTTCCTCCCCTGAACTCCTTCAGTACTCAGAATGTATACCAACGAAACATCCAGACTCCTAACCCCCTCAAGAAAAACCCCAAAACAACCAAAAAACAAAACTAAGTGATTATAAAACTCAGTTTTCTTCACTTCTTGTTGATGGACACAAATACGGTTCTTAAATGGTTTTTCATATTCCATGTCTACTATTATCACTTAAAAATATTTTTGAATATACACACATACTCAATGTAGTTGTAACAAATGGACTTCAGAGTCAGATCTGATTTTGCATTCTGGGCTGTGTGGTCCTTGGGAGAGTTTCCTATATTTCCTGAACTTAAGTTTTCTCATCTATAAAATTAGGATAATTAATGATTATTTCATAGGGCCATGTAAAGATTAAATGAGATTAGCCTAGTCCCTGGTACATGAATAACGTTCACTAAAATGCCAGTTTCCATTTATTTTCTCCTTAATGGCCATTTAGCATTCCTTTGTATTACTGCTGGTATTACTAGTTTTCACCAGGGTTGTTTTTTTTTTATTGTTGGGCTTTTGGGTTGTTTCCATTTCACTAGTGTATATAGTAGTCTATAAACGTCTCTTTAGTAATCACTTTTTTTCCTTTGGGATTATTTTCTTCGAGTGTGTTCCCCAAAGTTGAGTTAGCAGGTGAAAGGATAAACAAATTTTTATGGCTTTTGTCAGGCATTGCACTGCCATCCACTAAGACTGTGCCAATTTCTTACAATAACATTATTATATAAGATTATCTGTTTCCTAAGGCCATTCAGGCATTAGGTTTAATTTTTTTAATTTTTGCTCGTTTTTATAGGTATATAATGGCATCTTGGGATGATTTGATTTGGATTTCTTTAATTGATTGCAAATGGTACACCATGTGATTTAGCTTTCAATTATATTATCTTGTATGTTCACAACTACTTATGTGTTAGTGTTATCTCTCCAACTCCATTATATAAACTAAATCATATAAGCTTGAGCAAGTCACTTTACCTTTATGAATTTGGTTTCTTATCACTAAAATGAGGGGGTTATAATCTCTACAGTTCCTTCCATTATGATTCTAAGTGTCTTTCTCCCCTGTCTCCTGACTCGATACTAAGAATATCCTAAGTGCTCTGCAATTGCATATTTTACCTGTTGATTACATTTTCTCCAGAGGTTCAGGAAAATATTTTAAGATTGTAATTCTTATCATGTCCCTCTCCTGCTTAAAATCCTACAATGGCTTTCTTTTGCACTTAGGATAAATATTCTCAGTGTCTCAGTCTTAAGGAGTTCATTTTAACATATACCCTTGGCTCCTTCCCATTCCATAGTACTTTCTTTCCGGTTGAGGAAGTAAAGAAAAACTTGTATTCATATTTCAGATTCCAACAAACATATCTTCCTCAGGGAAGTTCAAGTGTTGGCTTAGTAACTGTATAACCTTGGGCAAATTATTTAACTTCTCTCAGCCTTGATTTTCAAATCAGTAAAATGAGAATGAAGATAAAGCCTACCTCCTAGGATTGTGGTAAGGACTAAATGAAAAAAAAAACAAAACATATAAAGCAACATCTGGCACCGAGCATGTAGCACTTGGGCAGTTAGTAGTGGAAGAAAGAGCTGCTCACTAAATAATTGCTGAGAGTGGATGAACAAATTAAGAGAAAGGCATGGTCATGGAAGGCTCTGTGGGTAAAGGATTTCTATTTTCACTAATTAATTTATTTAAAAATTGCCTACCCTGGCCCTGACTGATGTAGCTCAGTGGGTTGAACATTGTCCCGCAAACTGAACGTTTGCAGGTCTGATTCCCAATCAGGGCAAATGCCTCGGTTGCGGGCCAGGTCCCTGGTTGAGGGTGTGTGGGACGCAACAAATCTGTTTCTCTCCTTTTCTTTCTCTGTCCCTTCCCCTCTCTATAAAAGTAAATAAATAACATCTTTAAAGATTGCATACCCTGTATGAGGCACTGTCATAGGCTCTGGGTAGCTGCAATTTGAATAGAAGGTGAAAAATAGAGTGGGAATTTTGAGGAGAGAAGGAAGAAATTTGAGCCAAGATTCAGCTCATGGGAACAGAAAGTGGATTAGGAGAGTGGTGGGTAATTAGACAGGTAGAGGAGAGAACTCAGGTAAGTAGGTCTAGAGTACAAGGCAGGGAAGTTGTGACTTGGTCCTGTGCATAGACTAGTAGGGCATCTGAGGATAAATATGTCTGAAAAGCTTAATGATGCTGGGCTTCCCTTTCTGTTGCAGAGTTTTGGGGAGACATTGCCAAGGAATTTTACTGGAAGACTGCATGTCCTGGCCCATTCCTCAAGTACAACTTTGATGTGACTAAAGGGAAAATATTCATTGAGTGGATGAAAGGAGCAACTACCAACATCTGCTACAACGTATTGGATCGAATTGTCCATGAGAAAAAACTTGGTGATAAAATTGCTTTTTACTGGTAAAAGCATTTATCTTATTGTCTGTGGTAGATAAAAAGTCATCCTTCACGTTATATAGTGTTTCGTAGTTCATGAAGTACTGTAAAATCTATGAATTCATTACAACAACCTAGTAGAGTAAGCAAAATATACTTAGTTTAATGTTTCAGGTGAGGAAAAATACCTCAAGGAAGTTAAATGACTTCTTTAAAATCACATAAATAGCATGTGACAGAACTGATATTCAAAGCCAAGTGTTCTGACTTCTAGTCTAGTTTTCTTGGCCTATAGTTGGAGAAGAAAGAGGAGGAAGGGTAAATGGAAGAGAACAGGACCTAGTAGCTTTCTTTCTCATTCTTGTTTTGGGAGAAAAATTGGTATTGGACTTTTCACTGCCCTTACGACTGTTATTACCTTTTATTGAACTATATGCCAGATACTATGCTCAAGTGTTTAACAAATATTATTTCATTTGATGCTTATAACAACCAAGAATGCACTATTTATGTTCCTCATTTTATATATGTGAAAACTTAAAGTCTGAGATGTTAAGTGACTTATCCAAAGTCATACAGCTGGCAAGATGGAGGACTGAGATTCAAACCCACATAGTATAATTCCAGAGCTTACACTCTTTTTTTTAATTTTTAAAAGATTTTATTTATGTATTTTCAGAGAGAGAGGAGAAGGTAGGGAGAGAGAGAGGGAGGGAAACATCACTGTGCACGAGAAATATCTATTGGTTGCCACTCACATATCCCCAACCTGGGACCTGGCCTGCAACCCAAGCATGTGGCCTGACCAGGGATTGAACTGGCAATCTTTCGGTTCACAGGCCAGCATCCAATCCACTGAGCCACACCATCCAGGACCAGAGCTTACACTCTTGACTGTGACACTGTGCTATCCTTCTAATTCCTTATACTAGCCTCTCAACAGCCTTGCAAAATAGATATTCTTAGCTCCATTTTACAGGTGATGAAGTGAAGAGCAGAATGGTTACACAGTGAATAAGGTCATAGAGTAAGTGGCAGAGCCAGAATTAAAAACCAAATATGTCTGACTCCTTGCTTGTAAAACTAGGCCATCCTGCCTCCCCAGCAGGAATTTCCTAAGACCCCCTCTTCCTGACAACATAGCTGTACAAAAGGTATTAATATACTGAACCCAAATAGGACCTTGAAGTTCCAGTAACTGGGGTGTTGCTTCTGCCACCACCTGTGAGCACTTTGAGAACTGATCCTATTTTTAAGTGAGCCATTTGGAGCAGATTGGATGTTTCATTGAAGAATTAAATTGGTACTTAGTAAAAATTTGCCCAGGTTATGTGATATATTGAGAAAAGCCCTAACCTGAGAGATAGGAAATTTAGAGTCTCATTCTATCTCTGCCATTCACCTGCTGTGTAACTACAGACAATTCTCTGAAGAGTCAGTTTCCTCTTCCATAAAATGGGGATAATAATTCTACCCTTGTATTTCTTCTTAGGTTGTTATGAGAACCAAATAAGACAATGTGAAAACACTTATTTATTTATTGGAAAATACTGTGCAAATGTGAGTGGGTGTATTATCACATTGCCATTGCTCAATTTGGGGTCACTATGCCACTGAAACTCATGGTCTGTATATCGGTTTACATTTTCTTTAACTCCTGCCAATGCTTGGGCCCACCACTATGTTCCTTAAGCATCAGAAAACCTTTAAATATCTGCACAGGCGATGCTTGTGTCTGAATTTTCCCCCCTGGTTTGAAATAATTCGAGTGCATGGTGAAAGACTGAAAAAACACAGACCAGAGCTGGAGACTGCTCCAAAATTCTGAGTCCCTTCTTTCTAGTTTCCCACCATCCATACCCGAACAGGCTCCAGAGAGCCTCTCTTCCCCATTTGTAAAATGAGAAGAGTGAACCAGATCTATGTTTTCCAAAGAATGCTCCAGAAACTACTGAGTACTAGAAATATTAGTAGGGGCTTCTTAATTCATGAAACAAATGAATCTGAGAAACACACGTAATAAATTGCCTTTTGTGGGATTCCCAATCTGTATTAACATAGTAAAGTTTCTAAGAAGTCCTACAGTAAACACATCTGATTAATTTTATTTAACATGGGATTTCCAAACTTATTCAAACGTCAAACATTTTTTTTGAAGCATGCTATTAACATAATAAGGGGAAATATTCCACCCTGGCTGGTGTGGCTCAGTGGATTGAACACCAGCCTGTGAACTGAAAAGTTGTTGGTTCGATTCCTGGTCAGGGACAAACTTGGGTTGTGAGCCTGCTCCCCTGTTGGAGGTGTGCAAGAGACAACTGATTGATGTTTCTCTTGTACATTGGTGTTTCTCTTCCTCTCTTTCTCCCTTCCTTCCCCCTCTCTAAATGTAAATAAATAAAATCTTTAAAAAAAGAAGAAATATTCCATGGAACACCCATTAGGGAAGCATTAGATTAGAAAATCTCTCTATTTACTTCCAGTGCAAAATTCTGCAACTCCATAAGCCATCTTCATTTCATTTTATTTTACATTGGTCATTCAAACAACAGGAATTGTTAAAGTCATTGGGCACTTAGCCCTAGTAGAGTTATGGATACAGGGGTAGAGGAATGGGAGACAAGTTCTATATAGGCCATTATTATTCAATTCTTTTATGTTTACAGTAAAGCAAAAGCAAAGTACAAATAAATCACATTTGTTATAAGAAAGGAAAGTACAAATATGCAACATGTTTGGTTACTTCCCCTTGTTACCTCCATATTTTTATGTAATATACTTATACTGCTATTCCTTCATCTTTTTTTAGAAAGTATTGACTTCTTATTATGACAGATGAAAATTTAATTCTTGTATATTCTTCCAACTTTTTTCATCTTCCTAATATAATTATAGCTCTGTTTCTGAGTTAATTTAAAATCAATGTTTACATAAGAGTAATATTATGATTGCATTACCTTTGAAGTACAGATTTTTTTTCTGAAGTTAAAAATTGCCTGCCATTTTTCTTGCACAATTTGTCCTTATCATATATTCAATATTTTTCAAACTCTCTATCATAGCCTTTGTATTCCATGAAGTCTTCCTTTTCCTCCAAAGTCCTTTACCATGGAGCCCACTTCTTCCTTCTCTAGCTTTTATTAATTTTTTTTAAGCTGGTCATTATGGCTTTATTTTATTGTATTTTTTTAATTATATTTTACTGATTATGCTGTTATAGTTGTCCCAATTTTTCCCCTTTTGCCCCCCTCCACTAAGCACCCCCAACTTCCTCAGGCAATCCCTACACCATTGTTTATGTCCATGGATCATTCACATAAGCCCTTTGGCCACTCCATTTCCTATACTGTATTTTACATCCCCATGGCTATTTTGTAACTGCCTATTTGTACTTCTTAATCCCCTCCCCTCTTTACCCATTCCTCCATACCCTGCTCTCATCTTGCAACCATCAAAATGCTCTCTGTGTCCATGATTCTGTCTCTGTTCTTCTTGTTTGCTTAGTTTGCCTTTTAGATTCAATTGTTGATATGTATTTGTTGCCATTTAATTGTTCATAGTTTTGATCTTCTTTTTCTTAAAAAAAGTCCCTTTAACATTTCACATCATAATGGTTTGGTGATGGTGAATTCCTTTAGTTTTTTCTTGTCTGGGAAGCTCTTTATCTGCTCTTTGATTCTAAATGATATTTTGCTGCAGCAATCTTGGCTGTAGGTCCCTGCTTTTCATGACTTGGAATATTTCTTGCCAATCCCTTCTAGCCTGCAAAGTTTCTTTTGAGAAATCAGCTGACAGTCTTATGGGAATTCCCCTGTAGATTACTAACTTCTTTTCTTTTGCTGCTTTTAAGATTTTCTCTTTATCTTTAACCTTTTGCATTTTAATGATGGTATGTCTTAGAGTGGGCCTCTTTGCATCCATCTTGACTGGGACTCTCCGTGCTTTCTGGGCTTGCATGTTTATTTCCTTCACCAAATTAGGAAAGTTTTCTCTCATTATTCTTTCAAATAGATTTTCAATTTCTTGCTCTTTCTCTTCTCCTTCTGGCACCCCTATGATGTGAATGTTGGAACACTTGAAGATGTCCCAGAGGCTGCTTACACTATCTTCATTTTTTTTCAGATTATTTTTTCTTGTTCTAATCAGTTGTTTTTTGCTTCCTTATGTTCCAAATCATTGATTTTATTCTTGGCTTCATCTACTCTTCTGTTGTTTCCCTGTAAACTGTTCTTTATTTTAATTAGTGTATCCTTCATTTCCGACTGGATCTTTTTTATCCTGTTGAGGTCCTCACTAAGTTCTTGTTGCATCCTTATAACCAGTGTTTTGAGCTCCGCATCTGATAGATTGCTTCTCCCCATTTTGTTTAGTTCTTTTTCTGGAGTTTTGATTTGTTCTTTCATTTGGGCCACATTTCTTTGTCTCCTCATTTTGGCTGCCTCCCTGTGTGTGTTCTATGTTTTAGGTAGAACTGCTATGACTCTTTGTCTTGGTAGCATAGCCTAATGTAGTAGGTGTGTCCTGTAGGGTCCAGTGGCACAGCTGCCCCTATCAGCTAACTGGGTACTTGAGGTGCGCCCTTTGTGTGGGCTGAGTATACTCTCCTCTTGTAGTTGAACCTTGATTACTGTTGGCAGGTCGATAGAAGGGATTTACCCAGGCCAGTCAGCTGCAAGGACTGGCTGACCACTGACACCAACCTCTGCTCTCCATGGCAGATCAGCTATGCAGGGGCAGGGTGATGGGGCTCCAACATGGTCCATAGCTGTCCACTGGGTGCCCAGTCTCTGGGGTTTCCTGGCTGGTGAAGGCCAAGGTCAGCCCCTACCTGTGTTTTGCCTGGGGCCATACTGCCTGAGCTGTAAAGCAATCTGAGATGGCTCCTACTTGTGCTGGGCTTAGATTTGTTTTAGTCCAACACAAGATTGCTGTACCTAGCAAAGATATCAATTAGAATCAAAGAGAAGATAAAGAGCTTCCCAGACAAGAAAAAACTAATCTGGGCTTAGAGATTCTCAGGTGAA